ACCCTAACCCCATCGAATTCCCTTCCCCATAATGATAGCCTGGCTGGGATCCTGAGAATCTGAAGTCACAGGGGTTTCAGTGAGAGGGAGCTGCCCTGTAATTCAGGGGGCGGAGTAAAAGCCAAAAATGTAGAGCAGGAAGCAGCGCTAACTCGAAGTTCCTTAAAAGGAAGCTGCTCAGTTTAGCAAAACTGTCCTCCGAGTTAAACAGGCGAGTCCCGCGTTCGGTAAAAATCCGAGGCGTTTATTCAGTATGTTTACAGGGAAATCAGCCCCACCAAATCCAGCGTAGCTTAGCTGGATCGCGTAGGATTCTAACGCCCAGGCAAGGGAGAGACTGGTGCGAGACCATGCGCATGCCAACTACCAATCCATGCACGTGGAAGTAAGCACCAGTGGATGTCCTGGTAGTTTCTTCGGAGGAGGTATGGAGAACATTGTTCTGTTCCTGTTCCTGAGGATCAGTAACAGTAAGGGTTATACCTCTCAGAAGTATTTCTATGGATTATAAAGAAATCCTACTTGGATCAGTAGAGCCAGCTAACGCATCTAAATGCCAGTCAAAATCAGGGAAGATCACCAGAGAAGCACACAAGGCTTTGCGGGTATTGCATTGTTAAAAAAAAAAAAAAAAAAGCTTGGTTTTGGTGATAGTTGCTACAGCCTGGCAAGGTAAGTCAGTTGCCCCCATGCTGCAGGTGAGGGAGAGGGGATTGAATGACTGGTGGCCTAAAGCAGTGAGAGAGCATGCCCTGATTACGCCTGGGGATTCCAGTCTATCTTTGTTTATAATTGCCTGCAACTAAGACTCTTGGAATACCTTGGAACTTACTTCCAAGTAAATATGGATTGGATAGGATAGAATTAGATAGGGTGTTTTGGTTTCAGTATGGAGGAGGAATACAGAATACAAGACATGCTTTTTAGCTCTGTCATCTACTGTTCTCACTCCTTTTACTTTCAGATGTTTCTGGGAAGTAAAGGTATGACTCACACATTCATGTCCATCATGTGCTGACTGCACCTGTAACTAATTATTAGACAGCCATTTGATATTATAGCAATTTTTAAAACATGTGTTCAAGAGCTTGGTAAATCACTTCTTTAGAAGCAGAAAAGTGGTAAAGTTCAGAAGAAAGTCCAGTGAGATGGGTGACCACTAGTTCTCAAGAAATGTGCTCAAAGTTGCAGCCTCCATTCTCCCCAATTCCTTTAAACTGCTTTCCCCTAAAATCAACAAGGTATTCCTCAGATAATAATACCTGTGTGTGCAACTTGTTTTTTAAATCCATCTTCCCAGAGCAGTTAATACAAATCTCCCCACTTACCCTGTCTCCCCCTCACCTGAGTAGATACAAAAGGGAAAGTTAGCACAAACACGCACATTTTTGCAAAATAAAATAATTCTTCTCTCTACGTAACTACTCTTCAAATAGCATGTGTCTATCTGATGCATATTCCCAACCTGATGACCTCAAGCTGTTTTGGATTACAATCCTCACAATACCTGACCACTCACCATGTTGTCTGAAGCTGTTGAGAGTTATAGTCCAAAACATTTGGAAGTCACCATATTAGGAAAATGCTATATTCACCCAATATATAAATGTCTGGGTGTTAATTTATGAAATGAATGTTCAAAGAAGTGAAGAAAAAAATCCAGCAAAATCTAAAATGCTTCTGATGTCCTTCAGGGTGCAGTTTAAAGGATTAAGTTGTCTGTGTTCACTATAAGGATTGATTTCTATACTTAAACATACATATGTGCACTCATATCCCATGGAGTGTGAGAACTGGTCTTCTGGAAAAACCATGTGCTCTGGAAGATGCACGATTCTTGGTCTCACTTCTAGATCATGAACTGATGCTGTTACCATCAATTTATTTATTATTAAATTAACATTCCACCTTTCTGTTTATTTCAACACTTAAGGCAAATTATAACAATAAAAATTGAGTATAAAATACACCAACATTTCTAAATTAAAATTTAAACAAATAAAACCAATCATTAAAATTATTAACAAAAGTTTGACAAAAGAGGCATGTTTTAACTATCTTCCTAACTATTGGAGAAGGAAGCCAAACACCCATCCTTAATTAGCACATTCCATGGCCAGGAGCCACACTGGAGAAGGGCCTTTCCTGGCACCCAATAGTCAAGCTTCTGGAAGTGGAGACAACTTCAGCAGGCCCTTGATTTGAATAACCCAGTAGGCTCATGATGGGAGAGGTGATCCTGCAAATAATTGGCCTTTAGCCATTTAGATTTTTAAGGATTATTTTATTTTATTTTATTTTACGTTAGTTTAGTGCCTTCAAATCAGTCTTGAGTCCTGGCAACTGCCTAGACAAATCCCTGCAGTTTTCTTGGCAAAATTTTCAGAAGTGGCTTGCCCCTGCCTCCTTCCTAGGGCTGAGAGAGAGGGAGTGGCTCAAAGTCCCCCAGCTGGCTTCGTGCCTAAAACGGGACCAAAACTCAGTATCTGGGGTTCTAGCCTAGTGCTTTTAGCCACTATGCCAAACTCTCTCTCTTTAAAGGTCAATACCATCACCTAAAATTGTGACTTGATAAGCAGTTTGCAAATGCATTGACAGTTCCCTCTCTGTCCCTTTCCAAAGGGTGGCAGCTGTTCCCAAGCCAGTGTACCCCCCCCCCCCCCGCATTTCTCCTCGGTCATTTGAAAGTCTTGAATGGGGCCGATCTGTACAGTCTTGTGAACCACGTGGCTATGGCTTCTTCACCACATTTGCGAATGAATAGCAGCAAGTCAAAACAGAAACAATCAAGCACCCCACCCCACAGAGAATAATATGATGGTTTATAAATGTCCTACAAACCCAGTGCACTGCTTTTGGCTTCTGGCATTTTAGCTGGAGTACTGTGCCAGAGTCCTGCAGAACACCGGAAGCTTTCCCTATTGCTGAGAATCGTGACCCAGCCCAGAAGGTGGGCAGACAACCACCCCCCCCCCGGATTGGGCCTTGCTTAGATCCTGTATGCTGACACTGTGATTGTTCTTCAAAGTAACTGGGGGGTGGCAGCTGGCTGGAGGATTTGGCAACTTTCAAAGGGCTCTTTAAAAAGGCTCATTTCTGGCATTACAGTGGCCAGTTTACATGCAACTAGCTTGGGCTCAAAGCTGGGTTGATTGAGGAAATGTGGGCCCAAAAGTAAATTATTGACCGCTACAGATACAACATCAATAAATACATAAATACGGTTGCACCTGACTATCCAAATCACCAGCCCTGTCCCCAGTGACCCAGAGTATCAAGCATCTAGAAGATGGGTTCTGTACTTCAAGTGCATGGGGGCTTATGGATTTGTGTGGGTGGACACAGGTTGGGCATGTGCTTGAGAGAAGCATATTAGACAGGTAGGAAATTGTGACCTGAATTGTTAAGTGCACAGGCAACAAGCCAGAAAGATGGAAAATAAGTACTTCTCTGACATTTAGATCACCAGCCTGGTCAGGGTCTTTTGCCGTAAAAGAAATACGGTGAATACTGGCATCTTTACTGGAAAAAAAAAAAGCACTTAGGTGTGCAGTTAACTGATTAAATCTAATTTTCCCAACTTGCATCTTATTGGTAAGTGCTAATTTATAATAAATCTTTATTTTTTATTGTACCATCAACCTAATTCCACACATCTCAACTCTAATGGGACTCACATCCACCAGGCTTCCTCTTAAGATTCAGTCATTATCAGCCAAGGAGATTTCTTTTTAAACCTGGTAGGAAATAAGATGCGACCTTAAAGCCAGACAATAAACCCACCTCCTCCCCCCAACTTGCCTTACCTTGGATTGTTCTTATTTATTAAGGTAACTAAACTAAACTAAACTAAACTAAACTAAACTAAACTAAACTAAACTAAACTAAACTAAACTAAACTAAACTGTTCCCTGCCGGCAAGGGATACTTCTCAAACATGTGTATAGATCCCTCCGTTTGTCTTTTTAAAAAGGTGAAATAAACTTGAATATTTTTACTTTAGCCCTCACATGCTCTTGTCGCGAAGCAAAAGAAAAGACACCCCCTAAAACAGGGTGAGGCGCGCATCCCGCCTCCCCAATGCAGGACTCAGGGCTTCTCCGCCCGCAAGGACACACACGTTGTGAAGCAAAGCGGAAAATGTGTGTTCATTACCACATAAAAGGCTCCCGTCGCGAAGAAGAATGGAGGTCCGAAACGGGAGTGATCGGGAGACAATGGGCTGTCAATGGATCGCTCTAACCTGGCTGGTCCCAGCGCGCCTGCCCCATTGTGCCACGCTCGTTTTAAACTACTTAGCCGACTCCCCCTCCGCTGATCTCGAACGATAAGATATACTTCTGCCAGAAGACATTAAAGGAAAAAAAAAAAGGGGGGGGGGGGAAAAAAGCAAAAGGTATGGTGGGGTTCGCTGGGGTGCCATTGACAAGCCTGCTGTGGAGTAGCAGTTGTTTCTTTTTACTTTTGTCTCTCCTTGCTCATATTTTCTCCTTAAGCCGTCGGATGGCGGCTCGGTAAAAAAATGGGGTGGTTTACAAAGGACCACATTCATTAGTTCATCTCCATACTTTTTTTTTTTTTT